CAGCTCACCTCGTCCTCGGGAGTCCGGACAGCGTCTGCTCTCTCACTGCTTCTCCTCAGGTCTGAGCCTGTTCCTCCCCCCACCTCCCTGGCCGGAAGTGGTCCTCCCTCTTTCCGCCTCCAGAGGGGGTCTCAGTTCCTGCTGGCCTGCCCCCTCCCCCTCGCTACCTCCAACTTTCCATTCTCCACATTGTACCTCCTCTTTACTGTCCTTCACTCAGCAGTCACTCCCTCCTCTTCTCCATTTGATTTATTCCCATCCTACATTCCCGTTCCTATTTCATTCTCGTTTTCCTCCCAAAGGTAACATACTCTTCAGAGTTCCCACTCAAGTTCTTCCAACAAACCCACATCTCAACATTAATTACAGTCTTTAAAAAAAAATGTGTCATCCTCAGTACATAGATTCTTACAGTATGAATCTCGACATCTTTCCCACAGGAGCAGAAGACAGAGGAATAGGTCATATGCATTTCACACACACACACACACACACACACATACATACATATCAGATTAATCTGATTATATATCTAAATGTCTTAAGATATTTAGAGGCTCTAAATATTACAAGGTAGGGAGCTTCCACATCATATGTATTCATAATAAAACAGTGGATGTAAGAAAATCGTATGAAATGTATTTATTTTGTAATGATTATATCGACCCTTTTTCATGTTTTAATATCAGCTTATTGGACATCAAAATGAAACCCACCATCAAACTAATTGATGTTAATAGAAAATGTGGAAAGAGATCAATTATCTGGTTGGACTCAGTTGCTCACACCTGTTTCCCAACTACTCAGCACACGGAGATCTGGGGGATTATGGATTGGTTTGGGGTTTTTCTGTTTTGTTTTTTTGTGCATTGCAATTTATTAACTATTAATTTTGGCATATGTAAGTATTTTTAAATTTATTTCTGGGGGGGTTAAGGTTTGAGACAAGCCCAGGAAAAGGTTATTGGAGACCCTATCAACCACCAACCCAGGAGTAGTGACACACACATGTAATCCTGTGCAAGACAGAAAGGAGGGTTGTAGTCCAGCTCAACCAGGAAAAAAGCAAGACCCTATCTGAAAAATAAAAACCAAAAAAAAAAGGCTGAGGGCATGGCTAAAATGGCAAGTAACTGTCTAGAATATATAAGACCTTGAGTTTGAACCCTGGGACTGCCAAATAAAATTCAACTTATCTGAAAAATATTGGAGCCAGGTGAACATTGATGATGCATACCTGTAATCCTAGCACTTGGAAGGAAGAGATGGAAGGATCTTAAATTCAAGGTCTGCATTGGCTATGTAATGAGGCCCTTTTTCAAAAATCAGTAAATTTATATATGTGTAAAATATATATTATATATTGTGTGTTCTTCCTTTCCTAAGGTACTAAACTAGTACTTAAAGTGTCTCTTAGGATGCAGTGTACTACTTCCCAGTGAAGGAAACTTTCTGAGGCATTCATTTATTCACTCGATCATTTATGTCTTATAAAATAGACTTTAAGTCAAAAACTAAAATGAAACAAAGCATTATATAAAAATTTAAAAGTTGGGCTGGGAAGGTGGCTAAGTGGCTCATGCATGATGCCCTGAGTTCGATTCCTCAGAACCACATAAACAGAAAAAGCTGGTAGTAGCACTGTGGCTCAAGTGGTAGAGAGCTTGTCTTGAGCTGACTCTTCAGGGACAGTGCCCAGGCCCAGAGTTCAGGCCCCACGACTGACAAAAAAAAAAAACAAAAAAAACAAAAAAACAAAAAACCCCCACCAAAATGTAAAAGTCAACTCAGGAAAATATAACAACACACACACACACACACACATACACACACACAGACCAACATCAAAGCACCTGACTATATGAGGCAAACATTATAGATGTAAGGAGAGATATGAACTGCAATAAAATAATAGTAGAAGACTTCAATGCTTAAATTTAGACAATTTACAAATAAACCAGACAGGAAATCAACCAGGATACACATGACTGGAACTTCACTTTAGTTAGTGGACCTAACAGACATATACAGAGCATTCCAGAGCATTCCATCCAGTAAACTGTGGAATACACATTCTTCTTAAGTGTATAAAGGACATTCTTGAATATAGATCATAAGTTGGGACACAAAGCAATCTTAAAATATTTTAAATATTAAGAATATTTGTCAAGAATCCATACAATTGTACATCACACAGGGTTTAATTCATTATATGTTAGCCAAAATTAACCAAGATATACAGGGACCCCTTGACAAAAGAAGGAGAATAACAATGGATCTAACTTTATTACAAATGCATCCTATAATCTTTCATTTTTATGATGAAGGATGAAAGAAGACCTGAAGTATGAAAAAGGACAAAATCACTTAAGTATCATTACAAAGAATGAAAGGGGGAGAGTTTTTAAGTATTTTTGGAAAACTGTGATTTGATTGGAAGAAATTTAGTTGACTAAAGCATAATATATAGAGGGATGAATCTCCATGACTGAACTTTTCAAACAATTAACTGCAGTTTAGCAAAATGAACACTAGAAGCTGATATGAGATTGTAAGGGGAGGGGGAGAAACAGTTGTGCAATGGATGAATGCAAAAGGGAACAGAAGACAAATACAACAAGTATATTCAATATACATATGGAATAAAGAAAGTGGGAAATGGGAAAGAGTTTAGAAGGAGGGAATAGAAAGGATGGGGGAGAATGAGGGAAGAAATGACTCTGAACAGGAAGCACTGGACCCATATAGACACATTAAATTGCAGCCTCCGTGAACAATCTTTTGAAGTTCAGAAAAATTTAAACTAAATAAAAAAAACCAAAGATAAAAGGGGCTACATAAATGGTGCTGTCATCCCAGGTGGTAAGTTTCTTTTCTCACCATAGCATAGGTTAACAATTCTAAAAACCCTCTGCATGTACATTAGAATTGAGAAAACAAGCAAATGAGTTGTTGATAATGATATCCAAACTTTGTACTGAGAGGGAAGATAAACAAGAAAAGTGGCACAGAGCTAAACATGTACTCAAGGACGGGAGTCAAAACCTTCAGTATAAAATCATGTTTAGCTTAATACACACAAAAATGTATGAGTACAAAAACACTTAAAGATATGTGTGTTTATTACACTAAGTGAAATGATCCCCAAGATAGGGACACAAGAGGTTTTTTTCTTTGTTGCTGTTGTTTTAATGTACTATGTGATTTTTTTGTTTCTTTTTTATGTTCTTCCCCCATAGTATAATCCTTGTTTTCACTATATTTGATTCTGGTGTCCTGCATCTTGTATATACATTTTCCTAATTTGGAGAGGGGAAAGGAAATAACAAAATGCTGAAATAAGGATACAGGTTGACCCATTGTAACAATGAGATGTATAAGACACTATTTTGAAAAGGAACCTTACAACTTGGGGGGGGGGAGGAAGAATTGGGGAGGTGGGGAGGGAATAGATAGTAGGGGAAAAACAAAGGAGGGGTTAACAATGCTTGATGGAAAATGTACTCATTACCTTACTCATGTAACTGTAACCCCTCTGTACAGTATCTTTACAATAAAAATAAAAAGATATGTGTGTTTATATAACTAAGCCCAGAAGAAATATATTCCTCAGTTAAATTTATGGAAAAGGCCAGGGGATAATGATACCTCAATAACAATTACCAAGCCTAACACCTACATCTTGGTTTCTAAAAATATTCTGTAATAAAAGGAGCCGGGACTTGGGAGAAATAGATGTTTATGAGACTGGGCTAGGAAAAAAAATAATGAAGTCGAGGTATCTTATAGTACCAGAAAGTTAGAAAGTACTAAAAACGAAAAACAACCAGGGGGTAACAGGGGAAAATGGCTGACCAGAGATGCCTAATGCTTACTCTTCACATACCTAAAGGACCAAAACAATTTTTTTTAAACCAGCTACATTTGTATTTAAAGGAGACTGCTAGGATACATCAAGAGAGTGGCAGAAGCTGCTACTATATAGTACCATCTTGAAACTGAAGCCACTGCTAGAGAACAACTTGAGAACAACTTGTTGTGGGGGCAGATAGCTACAGTTTGTCTCCAGCTCAGAAGATCTGCTGTCATGGCACTATTCCTTAAATGAGCTTCTAGAGCTCTCTGACCCCCATTCCCACCCCTGGGAGCAAGCTAGCTAAAAAGTATTCTATCTTCCCCATCTCTGTGGCTGCAGTATTCCAATCCCAGATACTCAAATCTTAGACCCAGGGGCTGGGAATATGGCTCAGTGGTAGAGTATTTGCCTAGAATGCATAAAGCCCCAGGTTCGATTCCTCAGTACCACATAAAAAGAAAAAGACAGGAGTGGCACTGTAGCTCAAGTAGAGTGCTAGCTAGCCTTGAGCAAAAAGCATCTCAGGGATAGTGCTCAGGCCCAGCAGAATAACTGAGGTCCTAGTGCCAAGTTCCTGTAGCTCTCTATTCTCCAAGGAGCTAGTGGTCTTCCCTGGTAGGGAAGCCAACTCAGCCAAAAGAGCAGCCATGCATCCTCTCATCACAAGAACCATCCAGATGGTCCACCATTACAGAAGCACATCCATGAGCTACGTAGAAAGTGATAACTGGAGGAACTTCGGGGACTTGCAAATCCATGGAAATTAGATAGCATGCTGTCAATCAATGGGTCAATGAAGAAATTAAAAGGTGAATTTAAATGTTTTTTTTTTTTAATCTGGATGCCACTGGCTCGCTCATGTAAGCCTAGGAACTCAGGAGGTTGAGATCTAAGGATATCAGTTTGAAGCTAGCCTGGGCAGGAAAGTCTATGAGACTCTTATCTCCAATTATCTACTGAAGAAACTATAAGTAGAGTTGTGGCACAAGTGGTAGAGCACTAGCCCTGAGCACAAAAGCTCAGGGACAGCACCCAGGCTATAAGTTTAAGCTCCAGGACTGGCATGTGCACTGTGTGTGTGTGTGTGTGTGTGTGTGTGTGTGTGTGTGTGCATGCACACACACACACACACACACACACACACACACACAAAAAAAGTTTCTTTCTTTTGTCATCCTTGCGCAGGGGCCATGCTAATCTCTGTATCATTCCAATTTTTTAGTATATGTGTTGCCAAAGCGAACACCACACAAAGTTTCTTGAGGTAAGTGAGAAAGGAGACACAGCATATCAAAACCTACAGGATACAACAAAAGCAGTTCCAAGAAAGAAGCTAGTGAAATAAGGAGACTGGGTCTAAGCTTCCCATAAATAATTAGCCCTTGATTTCCCCTGATTGTTTCCCTAGATGGTTTGCTTTTGTTAGGTTTAAGTGGCTTCTGGTTTGCTTTAATTATGTGTAACAATTTTGTTTGGTTTGATTCCACATACCTTATGTGGTCTTGGCCTATATAAGCTTCGTACTAGCTGCACTGGGGCTTTGAGACCAGAATCCACCATCAGTCCTCAGGCTCTCCAATAAAGACTCATAATTTGACCTCTTAACTGGTGGCTTCTCTGTTTCTTGCAACTGAGTTCCAATACAACATTAGTAGTAATAAATGTCCACAAAAAATAAAATAAAAGCCAGGCTCATGCCTAAATTCGAACTATTCAGGAGGGTGATAATCTGAGGATCATATTCAGAGCCAGCCTGGTCAGATAAATCTAAGAGACTGATCTCCATTTAACAGCAATGAAAATAAACCTGGTACTGGAGGCATGGCTCCATTGATAGAGCCACCAGCCCTGAGTCTCTGAGTTCAAGTCTCAGCACCAGCACTTACATACATACATACAGCTAAATGTGGCAGTACATTTCTGCAATCCCAGCACTCAAGAGGCTAAGGCAAAAGAATGTAGAGTTGAGGAAAGCCTGGGCTACATAGGGAACCCTCTCAAAAATTTTTTTCAAGTGGAGGTATAACTCAGGTGGTAGAGCACCAGCCTTAAGCAAAAAAGCCAAGGGAGAACAGGGGACCATGAGTTCAAGCTCCAGTATTAGCACGTGTGCGTGTGTGCACGCACACACACACACACACACACACACACATATAAGAAAAAAGAACATAAAAGCAAAAGATCTCAAGCAACCTAATTTTACACTTCTAGGAGATGGAAAAACAAAAGCAAATATCTCAAAAATAGTAAAAAGGGGGAAATAATAAGCATAAAACTAGAAACAAATGAAATAGACTAGAAAATACAAAAAGTTGGCAAAGTGAACATTTGAGTATTTTAAAAATGAAAAACCAGATTGTCAGTTCTTTAGTTGGGCTCAGGGATAAACAAGAGAATATTCAAAATCAGATGAAAAAATGAGACATTACAACTGCTATCACAGAAATACAAAGAATCATAAAGGTTATTACAGATAATTATATGTCAACAAATCTGATAACCTAAAAGAAATGTATACATTTCTGTACATACACAACTTACCCAAATTGAATTATTAAGAAAGAGAGAATCTGAATAGACTAATAATGAAGGAGATTGAACCATCAGTAAAAAGTCACCCATCAGGGCTGGAAAGGTGGCTCAGTGGTAGAGTGCTTTCTTTGCATGCATGAGGCCCTGGGCTTAATTACTCAGCAACACATAAGCAGAAAAAGCCAGAAGTAGCACTGCTGCTGAAGTGGTAGAGCGCTGGCCTTGAGCTGAAGAACTGAGTGACAGTGCCCAGAATTCAAGATTCACAACCAACAAAAAAGTCACCCATCAAAGACAGTATGATATATGCAGGGGAGGATCTCAATGGTGTAACTTCTTTGAACAGTTAACTTACAGTTTAACAAAATGAGTATCAGGAGGCTGGAACGTGTTGTGTGGTAAAGGAGATCAAGAGGAGGGTAGACCAATGGATATAGGAAGGACAGGCAAAGGTAATCATCGTAAAGTACATAAGTAAATTTGGAACCAGGTAAATTGTGGGGGTGGGTGGGATTGGGAGAGATGAGGGTGAATGATGGAAGGGTGATATTGACCAACATGCATTGTAGTCACAGATGTACATGTTGAATTGAAACCTACAACTACTTAAAGACAATACAAATTAATTTAAAATATAAATTTTTAGAAAAGGAAAAGTCTATCATATCATGACTACACTGTGGAATTATACCAGACATTTAAAAAGAACTAATCCAATTCTTCTCAAACTATTTCAAAGAAATAAAGAAGACAGAATACTTCCAAACTTTTTCTACAATGCTAAAATTACCCTGATACCATAACCAGACAAATTCATAAAAAAAAAAACCACCAACCAATACTATGATGTACTACAATGCAGAAATCCTCAAGACACTACCAACAAAGCAAATTCAATAGGACATCAAAAGATTATTCACTGTGAGCCAGTGTGGATATACCAGAGATGCAAGAATGAATGAACATACAAAAATCAAACATGATATTCATGTTTAAAAATAAAACAATCACTTTATCATTTCAATAGATGCAGAAAAGGCTGTGGACAACATTCTATACAGTGATCCCTCACCTGTCTCCTGAGTTACGTTCCAGAGCCCCTAGCCATAGGTGAAAATCCGCGGAGTAGCAGCATTAGATAGTCGTCCCTCACTATATCGCTGTTCACTTATTGCTACTTCGCAGATTCTCACCTATCGCAGGAGGCTCTAGATCATAACTCCTGCGGTAGGCGAGGGATCACTATTTATGCATTATTTGAAACCCGCGATACAGTGAAGCCACAATAAGCCGCGATAAGTGAACTGCGATATATAGAGGTAGGACTGTATCTCTTCATTATTAAAAAAACTAAACCTCACAATAAATTAGGTGTAAAATGTGTCTTCATTTGTTTTGTGTTGTTATCATACAATAGCTGGGGCCATATAAGAAAAAATAAGGGTTTATTTTGCTTATGAGTCTGGGTGTGAAGAGTTGGAAGTCTGGCAAGGTTCCTTTGACTCTTGTCCCATGACAGAGAAGCAAAATGTTAACTGGCTAGATGCAAAAGCATCCAAGAATGTGGGTTGTCTTGTTACCAGTAAAAATGGATGCCCCTCAGGTTTTCAAGTTTACGACATTGCCTTGGCATAGAAAAATAACCACGAAGAGTAGGAAGAATGTAAGAAATGGTTTACTAGGATAGCAAAACGTTCACCTTGACACTTGAAAGAGGCAATTTGGATAAGGACTGACTGCTTTGAAACCATGGTTACTAGCTGGAACAAAATTAGAGCCTTCCTAATGTTGTGACCCTTGGCAACTGTGTAGTGGGCTTTCTGGATATGGAAAATATATAGATGTCCTTTCGAGAAGATGTCTGTGAATTTAATCTTTTGTGCCCTTCCTGGTTTAGTGATGCCAGTGGGAGGTCCTATACCAGTCATTATGCTCCTCAAGGTACATGTACAGACTTGATATGGGAAGTGTGCTACATAAGGAGAATATAGAGCTGTTATCTTAATTACAGGTTCAGGGTATAGGCCATCTGGGGTTTTATGATTCTACCTCCAAGAAAGGGGAATAGAATTTTGTGACCAGGGGCATTTCCTTGTTCCTGCTCATGTCTACCTAGCTGCCTATGCTAACAGTCTTGCTTTATACCAATCTGCTCTCATAAGAACTAACCCATGTCCTGCAAAGATATTTATCACTTTTGATCATGGCACCATCATGACCTACTAATTTTCTACTAGGTGCCATCTCTTAAAAAAGATCTACCACCTGTCATACTGTTACATTAGGGACCATGCTTCAAGCACACAGAAATTTGAGAGACAAACCATTTTCCAACCACAGCATTCTGATTCTGGCCTTCAAATTTCAGGTCCTTCTGACAAAGCAAAATACATCCATACTATGTCAACACTTCCCCAAGTCTTAACTCATTTGAGAATACAGAACAAAATAGCCCATTCTATTACAGAAGGGAGAAATGAACCATAAAATAGAGATGCTAGGCCTCTATGAAAACTGAAATCTATCTATCAAGGCATACTTTAAATCTTTCCTTTGTTTCCAATGGGAGAAAATATGGGCCAACTATACATCCAATAAGGTGTTGATTTCCAAAATATTGAAGCAACTCAAGCAAACCAATAGCAAGGAAACAATCCTATTAAAAATGGGCAAAGCTTGGTGACAATGGCTCATGCCTGTCATCCAAGCTAAGGAGGCTGAAGTTTGAGAGTTGAAATTAAAAGCCAGCCCAAGCAGGAAAGTCCAGGACTCATCTCTAATTAACCACCAAAAAGCTGGAAGTGGAGATGTAGCTCAGAAGAATGGTAGCCTTGAGCACAAAAGCTCCAGGGCAGAACCCAGGCCCTGATTTCAAGCCCAGAACTTACACAAAAAACAGGCAAAAGACCTAAACAGACATTTTTCAAAAGAAGACATACAAATAGCCCACAGGTACACAACAAAATATATCAGTAGTCACTAAGGAAATACAAGTCAAATCCATAATGAGAGCCAGGGCTGGTGGCCCATGTCTGTAATCCACGCTATTCAGGAGGATGAAATTTAAAGATCACAGTTCAAACTCAGCTTGAGCAGACAAATCTGAAAGACTTTTACCTCCAGTTAACCATAAAAAAGCTGGAACTGGAGTTTTGAGTGCCAGCCATGAGCTAAAAAGCTAAGTAAAAACATGGGGCCCTACACACACATACACACAAATTAAAAAGAAATAAAGTAGGTGTCTAATCTAGTAATTTTTCATATATGCAAAGGAAATGAAGTCAACACATAAGAGGAGATAATCTAAAAAAAAAAAAATCTCTCAAGGGCTAGGAAGATGGCTCAGTGGCAGAGTGCTTGCCTTGCATGCATGAGGCCATGGGTTCAATTCCTCAGCACCACATAAGCAGAAAAAGCCGGAAGTGGTGCTGTGGCTCAAGTGGTAGAGTGCTAGCCTGGAGCTGAAGAGCTAAGGGACAGAGCCCAGGCCCAGAATTCAGGCCCCATGACCACAAAACAAACGAACAAACAAACACAAAACCTCTCAGATGACAGTCTCTCAAGAGAGATAGCAGAATAAGCCTGTGACATAGGACATGGCGTTATGATAGTTCCTTATAAATCTCCCATCATTTTGCATTCTGAAAGAAGCAAAGCATTAAAACAAGATATAGAGAAGCTATGGTTAAAGTTGTGGTCTGTGTGGCTCATGTA